AGCAACAAGAGTCGTGGATTTCCAAACAGCTTTATTCCCACTGCCTAAGTCCCCTCTCTACCCACCACCTGTTCTCTTTATATCTACCTTAATGTCTCATTTAAATATGACCTTATAATAAGTCTTTCTAGTCTAAGCGTGGGCGCCGCGACATCCTAGGGGCGTGGCACATGCTAAGGGGCGACGCGACATCCTACGGGCGTAGGACATGCTAAGGGGCGCCACCGCGTCCCTTACAGTACCACCAGCTGGAATAAGTGCATTCATATGGAAAACCAAAAAAAAGGGATACCACCTCCAGTGTTGTGCTTGGCAAGCTCTACAAAATGCAGTAAACAAGAGTTCTCAATATTTTTGTTGAAAATTACAATTTAAAACAAAATCATGGGGAAAAGTAATAGTTTAAATACAGATTTGTGAAATGCGGTTCATGGCAAAAAGTAGGTCAAAGGTCAATTTCAAGATCAAATTAAGTTAGAATATGATATATGATATTACAGTATATGACTTCCTATTCAAGTTCAATAGTAACTATGGGCATATCTCTGCCAGTTTTGGAGATATAAGGGACTAAAATGTTGTAAAGTTCAGTTCATATAGTGAAAAGTAGGTCAAAGTCAGGTCAATTTCAAGGTCACATTTAGATTGCCAGTTAATATGACTTCCTATTCAAGTTCAAAAGTAACTATGGGTGTATCTCTGCCAGTTTGGAAGTTCAGTTCATGGTGAAAAGCATGCATCATTGTTGAGAAGGGGAGATATCATGTTTGCCCATACCAGCTATATGAGAGACTGGCAGTGGCAAGCCACTATCATCCAGACAACTTCAAAGATGTTTTATCCAGAGCAGCATATACACGTTTCTTTTGCAATAATGAGAGAAATGGGATTGGAGTTCGGGTATATGGTGGCCTTAAAGTGGATCTATAGTAGTCTCAGTTATTTGTATAATACAGACATGGAGCAGAAAAGAGTAAATAACTGCTGACTGTTAAGTGTTCTCAAATAAAGATGTGTAGTTTGTTTGATACACTGTGTTGTGGTCCAATTTGTGTTTCCAACGACTTTTTTCTTTTTGACTGTTTTTTATCCCTCTCTCATTAGTTTAGAAGTCTCAAGAGGATGTCATCCTTGAAATTAAATCATTGTAGCCTGAGGTAAAAAGTGCACGATGAAGACAACTGCAGCAACAGATGCAGGTGATGGCTACATATACAGAAAGACACATTGTGTCTGTACATGAAAGGATAATAATACTAGATTTCCAAAAAAAAGTCTAGGGTAACTCTAACATAATTGCCAAATATGATTCTGGTGCATTACTAAACATACATAATGACAAATCATAAAATGATATAAAACACTTCTCATTATCTTCTCCCCCAGTGAATTGCTTGTGGGCAATAACGGAAAGTCAGAGTGGCATGATACCAGTGGATCTCTACAGTGATAAAACTTGGAAGATATATTTTAATACATATATACAATTAAATACTTTACTAAATAATCTCAAACTCAATTATGAAAAAAAAATGTAAACTGTTATTTGTGAGTCAGAAAATTTTATCAAATGAAACACATCTAACTGACCACGGCTACAGATCAGCAGAACAGAAAAAATAGGTCGACAACAATTTCACAGTCCTAAAGACCACTCAAAGGTTATAAGAAACAGGAAGAAAGTAATTCCAATCAATGTCTATCTGAATTATTGACATCAAATCTCTTGCAATGCTATCAGCTATGTACTAATTTTGAAATGGCAATGAAATATAGCCCCTAGACACAAAAAAGTCATAAAAATCTGGACATTTGAGCAAATACCCTAAACTAAGCCATTTTCTGTACCTTTTCAATAATTAAATGAAAATAAGAGGCAATGGACCCCAATTGACAGTTTTAGTTGAGGCAAACTTAAGGAGCATGAGCTTAAAGCCTGAAGGAGTTTACTCAGTAATTTGCTCCAAAAATGATCCCAAGAATACTTAAAGATGACCTTTCTTTCATTGCGGCAAACAGCCAGGTCATATTTCTTCTTTTTTTTTCAAAGAAATCTGTGGGCAAAATATTTTAGCAATAGCACAAGAAATGATATCAGAAAAAATCAAACAATATTCTTATCTATATGCAAATATTTTGTCAGTTGCATCAATATTTTCTTTATATCGATATCGATTCTCACATATTACTTGAGTACTTGCACTCAGGCTACTGAAAAATGAACTTATCATTATTCTGAAAATATTAATGAATTGACACAGGGGCAGGTTCCATGGGTGTACAAATAGGATGATGATCTAAGATGCCTGATGGTCCAACAAAGCCAAAAACTTATATCATGATTCAGGCATACCTTGAGGTATACTTAGACCGCATTCACAACAATTTGAGCCAGGCTTTACAAATCCTGGGACTAAATATGGTGGATGTACATGAAAGGAAAACCGCCTAATCTTTTAATAGTCTCTCTGCCTCTCACACGCCTCCCCACACGTTGTCCCTGCGGGGTACAGTCATTAAATCTCAGCTCCATTCGCCATGCGAAAGCTACCTGAGAAATATTAAGTGCGCATGCTCATCAATTAAACTCGAGGTGAAGAAAGCATGGCGGCTGGAGGCGATTGAAGGAAAAAAGCTCTTCTGTTCTGTTATCTTTCAAAACAGAAACGAAAAAGAAATGAATTGGCCCGTAGAGCAGCAATGAATCGGCTATCTACGGAGATAATGTCACCAGAGATATTCACAGCAATATTCACAGAGATACCCAGCCCCAGTAGACGGAGGAGGAGGGCAGAATTTTTGCGTATGCAGTCTCGTCAGAGGGCGCAGTTCGTTCTGATGCTGATGTTTGCCTTGTTCCCTACGCCTGATCGAACTGGAAGGGGGGGGGGGGTGTTTTCATGATTTTGATCCCGATTCATAGCTGCTCTATGGGCCAATTCATTCCTTTTTCTCAGGTAGCTTCCACATGGCGAACGGAGCCGAGATTTAATGACTGTACCCAGCAGGGACGACGTGTGGGGAGGCGTGTGAGAGGCGGAGAGACTATTAAAAGATTAGGCGGTTTTCCTTTCATGTACGTCCGCCATATGTAGTCCCAGGATTTGGAAAGCCTAGCTCAAATCGTTGTGAATACGGTCTAAAGTGGCATTCACAATAGCAGACTAACTAATCTGTGGATCAAATATGGCGTGACCACTTGAATGCTTTTTGCATAATCCCGGCGGGGAATCTATTCAGTGTCTATTAGGTGATTAGGTGGCAAGCTTATAAATGGATTGCTATATTCAGCCCTCAGACTAGTTAGTCTGCTATGGTGAATGCAGCCTTAGTGAGCATGAGTTTTGTGAGTTTAAAGCCTAAAGGGATTTATATAGCAATTTACTTCAAAAATGATCCTACGAATGCTTGAAAAATAACTTCCCTTAATGTGATTTTCATTGCAGCAAAGAAAAAAAAGATGCAATCATTATTATGAAAATAATGATGTATTGGCATGGGGCAAGTTCCATGGATGACGATAATCTGAGACGCTTGATGCTCCAACTACAACAGAGTACCTTCCTCACAACTTTTTTGCATATATAAACTAATTCCAAAGGAGTAAGAGTCTGGATAATAAGAGCAAAGAACTATCATGATTCTATCACAGACAAAGTGCAGTACTGTTATCACTGAAGCACAATGAATAGATTGAAGCCTGCACTGAAATAGAGCAAATCACAATATCCAAATTAGAAATATGGTACCACTTTAAAATATGGCATTTAAAACATATGGAGTTCATAAGGGATTTGAAACTGTTTCAAATCAAATGATGGTAGAAAGAAACTACACAAACGCAGTCATTACTAATAACATAAGCACATCTGTATGGTTTATATATACACTATTGACTATCTACAATGTTTATGCCATCAGGGCTTCATACCTGATGCCAAACAAAAATGTGCATATATTTGCTGATAGATTTTCAAGATTACTTTTTTTTTTTTTTTTGTAATTAAGTACTAAACAAAGAACAGTTCCCTGTATTTATGAGACATTAAATGTTTTCACTGTCACAGTTAGGAGCAATAGCAACTGAGCAGTTCTTTTTGATATTTTGAACAATGGCAAAGGGAATTTTTTTTATCCTACATATTTCACATTTAGAAAGCTGAAAGGGCTTTATGTCTATGCATGTGCATGTATGTATGTGTGTGCACATGCATGCATACTACAAATGTGCTTTTGAATTCGTATCCTTTTCTCTCAATGTTCAGAAAATAAGCACTAGCTGTTGGTCTTTCCAGAACTGTTATTATGCAGTGGTTTGCAAAAATTTTCAGGTAATTTTTTATAAACAATCTTTATGCTGTAGATGTGCATAAGTGTCTTGTTATAGCAACGTGATGAGGTGTATTTGATATGTTCCTAATTTTTTGCTTGAAGTCACTTAAGAGTCCTTGTGAAATTAACTGATTTGTTCATGAATCCATCATTTCAATTCAAAGTTATCTTTTAGCTGAGTTAAGAAAACTGTGCCAAATTCATAGAAACTGTGGTTGACATAGTTTTTCAACTGACCTTGGCATATATATTTCAGGTCAATGCCATATGTTTTAACAGATGTTTCTTAAAAGAACTCTACTGTTAAGAAACAGGTGTATACATGCTAGTAAAAGAAGAACATTGATTATTGGGTAGTAAAACAATGCCCCTTATAACCAGGGGCGGATTTAGGCCGTCTTTTGGGTCTTCCGGAAGATGGTCAGATTTTCAAGTTTACATTGATGGGTATTTAATTTATTTCTGTGGGAAGACGGTCAAAAATGGAGGATGGATCAACAAAAATAATTTGGAAGACTGTCAGAAAATATCTCTGGATCCGCCCCTGATAACTGTATATTTCATGTAACTTATCATGGAATCAAGTCAAAGAGAAGATCAACAATCTTTAAAATAACACTTGTTAGTCAGAACCAGGCAACAGAAAATGTCTATATGGGTCATCTTACCTCTAGAAGGAGGGACTTCTGGGAAGGATTGTCTATTAGGCGCCTGGCAAGGGTTCCAGGGGATGTTCTGTTGGTGAGGATGATGCTGTTTTTGCTGTTGGTGCACCAGTCCAAAAATAAATCCCTTGAGAATCCACATTCTAGGTCTGGAACACTGGCTATTACAGTCTAGAAAAAAAAACAAAAAAAAATCATTTTATTATTTTCTATTTAAATTCACATTTATCATAATTACTCGTACTTGTATATTTTGTCTAGGATTTGGTAATTCGAATCTAGCATTACAATTATTTTCAAAATCTTTAATATACAATTACTGCATGCAGCTTAGGTCAACATTACTTTTCTAAGGTCTGCAAAACAACATACTGACAGAAAGCAAAATTCAATAATTGCTAAATGCTATTTAACTTAATACCTAATTGTCATTGTTCTCTTTAATAATATCAAAAGTTGTAACACGGCTGTCATCTGATATTGTTGCCCCCTGACTGATCAGTTATTACTGTCCTTTCCTCTGATTGGTCAATAAATAGTGATTACTTTATAAGTCAATATTATGTTTGGAGATGAAGTCATTGGTCAATAATGAATTTGGTCAGACCTCAAAATAACGGAAAATAACAGATGTAAGATCATAATCTACACTACATATGTAATAATTATCATATTTTTTAATATGTTATTTTGATCATTAATTTTATTTTTTTTTTTTTTATTTTTATTTATCTCATTTATTCCTTTTTTGGATAAAATAGTAATGGAAAATGCATTTGGAATGTATTTGGAAAAGTGAGATAAGTAATTCTTAGATGAAAATAAGACCTATCTTTGTCTTACTTTCCTTTTTAGTTGGAAATCACATTAGGAAACACTCTATTATTATCATTGTTTTTTAAAATGAGATGTGGTTGAAACAGGTTTCTCGCAAAATAATGTTGACACATTTTATAACGAATATCTATATCTTACTAAAGCAAAAGATGACCACATAGGTTCAAACGAAATTGAATCATCTCTTATCGCACTGTTTAACAGAGAACCCATACATCCAAAGTATTCATCATCTGATTCATCTCAAGTGAAAAACTATTTCTGGTTGGTCATTTCTGAAGAATGAATAGTTTACAACATGAATGACATGGTGACTGAAAATCAAATGCTACCAAAACCTTCCTTTTTGCTGATAGCCATGTTAAAATTAGAATGGAAACCATTTAGCTATAAGTAATTTCCTGAGATCTGCTGTCTCAAAAATTCGTCCAAGTCTCTCAGAATCCCAAAAAGGTCTTCATGTGATACTGCAAAGGTTTCTTTTTATATACCATTTATACATGATTAGATTTAAAATGTTTTGACTGACAAGAACCAAAAATTGGATTAGGAGTCAGATGCTAGACGGAAATGAAAAGTCACCTGCTTACACGTACAACTTAAACAACCAGTAATTCATTTATTATTCCGTTAACGTGTAGCAACATTTGCACAGTGTGGTCAGAGTTGTTTGATACGTGCTCTCATCAAACAGTCTTCAAAAGACACTATATCTGTTCAACAGCTTCAGGCAAAAAATGAAGCAAAGGTAAGGCTTTATTTTTAACAGTAATATATTTTGTATTTTTACAAACTTTTTTTTCCATCTTATAATGCACAGGTGTCCAAATATGGTTTGGAGTTTTTCATAAGTAAAAAATAGATTGTTGGTAAAGTACAGGTACAAATACACATCTGCAGTCATATACAGGAAAATATAAGCTCTTCTAATCCTTTGTCAGAAGCCAAGGTAGTTTAAGATTAAGTACCATCATGCTGTTGACTATTAGTTTGTTTCAAGGAGATCTCTGATATATCTTTACAAATATCAGTGCAAGAAAGATGGCGCAGATTTTTTATCAATATCTGTTTCATGTTACTCGATATAAACCCCATTCTACATTTATATTTAATTACCATTCTAGATTGCCCCCAGCATGCTTAAATGGGTTTAAACACCAATTTGAAAGCACAAGTTGACTGCACTGCCTTGTTGAGAATCAATTTCGAAACAAGACCAGGCATAGCTACAATGAGCTTCAATGTCTGGTATGGACTGGTTCATCAATGAATATATGCACCCCCCACCCCCCTCAATAGAACATCTTACTCTATTAAATAAATTGCCAACCAGTTTTGAATCTTGATCAACTTTACTAATATACTAGATTTTCAAATGTAGTGTGTGACATTGTTAATTGGGCTCCGTATCTCGAAAGGTTTGCTATGTTGCACACGTGCACAAGTGTCTCGATTCCATAACCAATTCTATTTCCAGATACAGGGCCATGGAATCGAGACGCTTGCGCACATGCGCAACATAGCGAACCTTTCGAGATACGGAGCCCAGGTTGATCATTCCATGTACTATTACTGCAATTCTTCCATAACTGACTGAAAATTAATTTGCTAGTCCACAGTTTGAAATAATTTGAAATGCAGAATCATTTTAGATATGATTTGCAATCTTTGTCAAGACGATGATGCTTTAAAGTTTGGCAATAATTGTGTCATCTGCAAATGTCATGTGCCCAAGGGTAATGAATATGTGCCCGACAGGCTCAAATTAGGTGCACTAAAGGTGAAAATCAACTTAATTAGGCTTCTTAAAGAAAAAGATAAAGCTACTATAAATTTAAGAGAAGGGAAGACTTGATATCATGCACAGTGGTTAACATCAGATAGTAAAAAATGGTTAGATTTAACTTATCACACTATCTACATATATTTGTAGTATTATATATGGCTAAAATTAACAGGTTAATTATTGAGATATTGACTCTGTTGCTTTCTACTACAGGCATAAAAAACCCTTCAGACTGCACTGATCAAATGAATTATTTGAAGTTCCATCACACCTACTGATTTAAAAAAACACATTGGTCATAGACATAAAAAGTTTGTATGATGCATCTCTATGTCCCTGAAGAATAAGTCCCATCCTTTTACTAGTTTCTTAAAAAGGAAGAGCCATGTTATATACCTATTATAGCTTGCCTTGAGAGCTTACACAACTGATTTTTATCTGAAGTAATTCCATTTGTGATTTATTGCCAAAATACACTCTCAAAACCTTTGTCTTTTTTATGATGACTAAGGCAATTTAGCTATTCTTCTAGCTCTTAATGGCCCCCACTGTGCCTTAATTGTTACTAAAAAAGCAAAAACTGATCTCTGAAGCAAAACATAAAAAATTTAACTCCATTTTTTTAATCTTTCTATGAGTGAAGATGTGGGTGAAAAGCACTTCTGCTGATCAAGGGCTATAAATGAAAGCCACTGGTGCTGAAATTAGTTTTGATCCTCAAATGTCTAGTGGCACACTGATAATAAAATCAAAACTGAGGAGAAATGCATCATAAACATAATCTGAAGTAATAGTGACCTCTGAGGTAACTGAACTTTTAATGTTCAACTGTAGCTATTCAAGAACAATCTCATTAGATGTTCATCAAAGATGACACATTTTCCTGATAATTATGCACTTTAAACAAGGGCGTAGTCCATAAAGCAACAAGTGAGATATTTGCTATTGGGTAATCTTTTCAATACCCTCAAAAGAGGGGTGCATTTTGCTACACTTTGATAGCTGAGCCTTCAAAAAACTTTTCCACTGAGACAGCTACTTCATAGTCTGTTAGGATTCTACCATGCCAATACTCAATAATACACATACTTTATTGTTTTGCTGACAAGTTCAGTTATTCCATGCAAGCTTAAAATCACTATCTGTAGCTAGTACCTAGATAACATACTGCCAAGGGCACTAAATGTTCATTTTCCTTCATTTGCTTTTGAACTTTTGCTTTGAAGCAATATTTGAAGGGCTTTTAAGCAATATTTGAAACAATGTGCTAGAAGTCTTTCTTCATATTTATCACTCAATTTATCTTCTTTATCAAAAGCTACTGAGTAAATGTGTTAAATAAGTAGTAAAAGATATCTTGGGTATTCTGTAGCAAGCTAGAACTATTAAACTCAAAGTCAAAATTCTAGGTTATATCAGTAGTCAAATATTCAAATTTTTGAGTTGATCAACTGCCAATAAAGTGAATTATATAGCAAATTAATACAGCCTGAAGTATATGACTTAGGTCCCATTCGTAACAGCAGACTAACAGATCGGCGAATCAAATATGGCCGACCCACTTGAATGCTTGGTGCATAATCCCCGTTGCCATATTTGATCTGTGGATCTAATAGTCCGCTGTTGTGAATGCGGCCTTAGTTATGAAACTAAAACACTAAAAAACAAATTTTTCAAGATCCACAATATGTGAGTAATAAAACTAATATGCTACATTTTGAAATGAATTAATTTAAAAATAGGGGTCCTTACACCTAGTCTTCCATGCCCAGTATAAAGAAGTGGGGTGCTTTTGATCATCAAGTTTGTTGATAGGTTGGAATGCATGCATACTATTGTTTTCAGTCATGTTCTTTCAGATTAATTCATGGGTTCTATTCAAAATAAAGAGTAGGCCACCACGGGCCAGATTCCAGCACAAACTTAAGGCGCATTCACATTAGAAATAAATTGGTCTATGTAGACCGATCCAACTCCAGGGACTCTCACTGAGTGCAATCAGTTTAACAGATTAACACACCTCCTCCTGGCATTCAGTAAAATACAGAAAAGCTGATCATTATATGAGTATATTGGAAGTAAGAGGAGTCGTGGTAATCTAGTTTATTTAGCAAGAGTCCCAATGGAGTTGGGTTGATCTACATAAAATGATAATTGCAAGCCCTATTTGTTTTTGTTTAATTTTATTTTTATGCATTCACTTTACATTGGATTGCTAAAAAAACGCCTTACCAATTTCTAAGTTCAAAGACTTCAACAGTGCACAAACTTTTGAATTGAAATTTAAATTTGCAGATTTAAGATACAATATTATTGGGCAGCCCTGAAAATTTCAAGTGTTTTAAGTGAAACAGTTTTGATATCACCAATACCACAATAACAGGTGTCATAACTGTCAGACGCTGGCACCTGTCAGAAGTCACATAAGCTGGCATGGCTTCTTTTTTACTTAAGATTTTAATTTTTTGGTGTGTCAAAACTTAGAAAGATATAGAGTCATGAAATCATGAAATTTATTAAAAACATCATTTTCCTTAAATACCTCAAA